AATTTGGGAAGACGTTTGTTGCACGTATCGCATTGTCACATGCCTTGTAAAAATTCATAAAAATGTTACTGAGCAGCTGACGAGTAACACAGTTTCAGCGCAGATTTCCCTCGCGCTTTGGACTTTGAACCCTACCGCCACAAGCTCGTGCAGCGCTGTTTGAACACATGCAATTCCTGCGTGTATTAGAAAACATAACATTCTGCCGTTTATTTAATTGTTTAAGGACATTTCGCGATTTTAATCATCGTACAGTAACCAGCAACAACCACCCTTCCTCTTCTCATCGAAGACATGCGATGCAGTACTAAACAGTCTCTCGCTGGCGGTGCTTGTAATGATTTTTGCGTCTTTCTCGGACAGCTGTTTCCACACTGCCGTCATGTTTGCTGCATTAGCGTGTGCCTCTATTTGATCGCGTCACGTCATTGTTCGGTACAATTTATTCTGTCTTTTCGCTTTTTTCTTTGCTATTTCGCTTAAAAATTTGCTATTTTCGGCTGAATAATTTCGGTTGCCGAACATTCGGTGCATCCCTAGTTCAAACAGGTGTCAGCATCTGCCTGTCAAACACCTGATTTAGCAGCAGTACGAGGCTGGACTCTAGGGCAGCAGGGCAGCCCAGCTGGGGATCCACACATGCTCCCAGCAGGCTTAGGAGCGGTTGTAGCACTGGACTGTGCAGGAGCAGGGGCTGATGTGACTGTCCTATCAGCATCTCAAACAATTTCAACAGCTCCAGCTGGCTGTCTGGATCCAGACCACGGCGCAAATGCCATTGTACCAACTCATCAAGGATGTTTTCTGCCACCACCATCTCCAGAATAGGACCCATTGCTGCAGACATTTCACAATCCATTGTCACATAAAGCAGCCTCTCATATATTACGCTAAACTGTGAAACAGCACAAATGTATGCTCCATCGAGCTCACAGGAGAGTGTTTTAACCTGGTGATTCAATGTCTCCCCCCGCTGGTCTCTCTTCAGCTAGCAGGCACAGCATCTGATCTGTGTGATTGCGAACTGCAGTGAGATCATCGGCATAGCAGCCCACTGAAGACTCTCTCTGTTTCAACACCCCTGACACCTGACAAAAAGACAAGGAACAGTTAAATTCTATTTGTGGCAAGGTCAAAGAGGAATAGGTGTCTATATTGATGTAGTGGAAAACAATCCAAATAAGAGAGCACCGACATACACTAAGGAGGAAAACCTGTTGATGTGTGGGTGTACCTACTGTATGCATTATATTTGAGCATAAAAGGTTACTGACATGCCCTAAAGACATAAAACTATAAAGGCATTTGTTTTCACATAAAACACACATTTCCAAATTACAAACCAAGCAAATAAACCAAGTGTTTTTGCCTTATTAATATGGAAAGACAACTATGAGCCTTTTAGTCAGAGCAGCATGCAGAGCATTCATTTTAACCCTATAAAGCCCACATTATCATGTTTGATACATGAATTCGTAAGCTCTCCGTTTTATCAACAATAAAAACTTTGCTGAAAAACCTGTTGTACACAATCTACTACATGCCTTCTGCCCTCTGACTGATAGTTCATACTTCGTTAACAAGTAAAAGCACAAAATTCAATTTACATGATTGCAGTTTATTTAAGGAGTTTATTTACACAATTATTATGAAAGAAAATAAGACTATGCTGTGTCTCACCTGTCTCCAGTGGTTCTCAAACACCATAAGACAAGTCTCAGGGTCGGCAGTGCATGGGCTGGATGGGGCTGCATGTCGACTGGTCCAAGTGCCTGGACCTCTTGGATTTAAACGACTCAGCCAACTCATCTTAGTGCACAGGCTGATCCAAATTTGATCAAAAGCTCAACAGGGAAGAATGAAGGGGAGAGAGGGAAGAGAAGTGTGGAGAGGGAGAGAAAAGGGAAAAGGGGAAAGGGGGGTAAGGCGGCTCACAAAAGGCGTCCAAAAATCAAGAAATGAAGAGTCCAGCTTGAAGAAATAAGAGGTAAAATCATAGAAAGGATGGAATCCTGCTGAAGTCTGCAGCAACAGTCACTGTACACCAGTGATCAGTGTGTGAGCATGAGAGGCTTGTCTGCACTCCCTGTCATCCAGTTTGCTGTCGGCACTATACTCCATACCGATACATAGACTCCTCCACACACACCTGCAGGGACAGAAAGAGAGCGAGAGGTCATTGATGACACATTCACACCTGCAGGTAAAAACAAAAAACAGTACAGCCAGTCAGTATAAAGGTTAGATTCTGAGGGAGATCGAAAGGGCACACAACATAAATTCCATTAGGGCAGCAACTATTTTGAGAATTGATTATAACATACATATTAATAGGATTAATATATACACTAATGTCAGTAATGGATGCTGAAAAGTCAGCTTTGTCATCACAGGAATAAAAAACATTTACAAAAAATTCCATGAGGGCTGCAACTATTTTGAGAATCGATTAACATACATGCTAATATGATTAATATATACTCTACTGTTCAAAGGTTTTGGATGAGCAAGTTCCCTTTTTTTTTTCCTGGCAAGGACACAATTGATCAAACGTAACAGGGACTGGAGTAACGGATGCGTTGTCATCACTGGAATAAATTTCCTTTTTTAAATATACTATAGAAAATACTCATTTTAAATTCAAATATAATTTCACAATATTACTGTTTTTATTGTATTCGTGATCAAATAAATGTAGCCTTGGGGAACATAAAAGACTTCAAAAACATTTAAAAAAAAAATGTACAGACCCCAAACTTTTGCACTGTAGCATAAATTCTTACTTTAATTAAAAAGACACCATTTATTTCTGGAATTTTATTAAAAATACAGTTTATTACACATCTCGCCCAATCCTTTGCGTTTAATTACGTTTGCAAAAGGGAAAACGAACATCAAGGCTCCTGGGATCTGTTCATTCCATTTTGCCGTTTCTGACAAAAACACATCATGCATGTATGTTTGAAGCAAAGTTATGGTATAGGGTGTGAATATTAATCGGGTCATACAGATGTTGCGGTTAGGCCTGGGCGATAAAACGGTATCAATATTTATCGACGGTACACCTTCTTCGATATCGATAGAAAAAATGTTCGATATAGTGCACGATATAGGCACGTGCTATGAGTGATGCAGACAGCACACACAAACACAAACACATGCTGAAATGAGTGCTGTGCCTGCCTGTGATGAGGAGATTGTGAATAAAGAGTGAATATTAGTCGAATTTAAAATAAACATTTGCATTTGAATGTTAGGTGTGCATCAGGGAGCGTCATCAGTGGCGCGCGAGATGCGGTGATGATGTAAGTGACGTTGTTGCATTTTAATGTTTTGTTAGTCTATTTTGTTATGCATTCCAAATATTAGAGAAATATAGAAGCTCAATGCGGAGAAGATCTTGAATGGGTTAAAACCGAAACCAAGACGTTCACACAGAACGCATATTCAGCGCATTTTTAGACAGACAAATATGACTGCTGCACTCGCGACTCACACAAGAGTTGTATAGAAAGCCATGCAAAGTTAAAACAGTTTAAACTTTTAGAAAACACGTCACGAATTTGTGGAGGTTTATTCCTTTTCACTGCATCTCATACGTTTTTAAATGCAATCTGCGTGAATGTCGCTTCGGCTCTTTGGATTAAGCAATGCATAAATACATGATGCTGTTTTGTTCATAATTGTTTATGCAATTTACAAAATTATATTAGATTTTTATGAGTTAATTTAGACGTAATGCACGCTTTTATAGAGTTACTTGTTAAATGCGCTGCATTATTTTGCTCATTGCGCCCTCCTGTGGCCTCGGGAGACAAGACAAAAGTTTCCTTAAAACCTATTTAATCTGCATATAAAACATTAGAAATTAGATATTTGTTTAATTTTTATTGTGTGTTTGACTGTTAAAACAAAAAAATATTTGTTGTTGTTTGTCTCAATAAATTGGGTTAATTTAAAAATACAGTGGTTAAAAAAAAAAAAAAAATTCTGTTGCTCTGTTTTAAAAAAGGTTATAAAAAATGTCAATAATTATCGATACCGAACGATATGAAACATTATATAGTTGATACATTTTTTAGCTATATCGCCCAGCCCTACTCATACTTTTAATTATGATCACTAGTGGTCGACCGATATATCGGCGCGGCCAATATTTGGAATTTTTTAAATATCCACGTCGGCCGACAAGTCTTTCCGTGTGGCCGATGTTTTTCAAAACGGATTATGACACCATATCGTGCATTTATGCTTTCTCTTTAAAGTCCCCCTGTAGTCAAATATTTTATCCCTTAAAACTTATCTTTGATAATCAAAATGACATATTTAAATGTTTTTTCTTGTGAAAATAATTTTCTCATGCCTTAAAATAGCTTGAATGTAACTCAACACCCTTGCCTCATTTACTATACGCTGATCTATGAATATGCAAATTAGCCCCGCCTCCACTCACTCACACCAGC